CAACATCCTGTCTTTTAATCAGACCCGCCTTTGTGGCCCTGGCTGCATCTACCGGCCCTGTTTTGAACTCTGTTGTCCAGAGTCCTTTGGCCCCCAGCAGAAATTTCTTATCAAGCTGAAACTTCAAGGGGAGAGATCCCGTTGCAGTTCATCCCCCATCTCTGGGGACTGTGACAGGTAAGCATCCTCTTCCTGTCTGTACATAGGGTTGTATATGGAAATGGGAAAGGGGGTTCTGCAGGTGCACCTCCCTTTATGAAAACCCCTGCCCCCTGTTCTTATCACTAACAAACCCCCTGGCTGTTTTGTTCATTCACTTCTCTTAATCTTCACTTTTGTTTTCTCCTTTGCAGCAGAAAGACATTTTCACGGAGAAGATATTCAAGAAAACCAAATTTCTCTTAGGCAACAAAGTGATGCTCAGGTCGGCTTCAATGTCTGTGCAGTCACTACCTGAGATGATGGCTGAGTGCTGGGCTGTAAACAGGACATTTGTACCATCCCCTCTGAGGCTCAGGAAACATTCTGAAGAGACTGGGTTGTTGGCAAGCTCAGTCTTACTTCAGCTGCCTGGGTACAGCTCAGCCTGTCAACAGCCAACCATGGGCACTAGTGAGCTCATTGGGCTTCCTCTCTCCCTCCTGAATTAGCTAGTGGCGGAATCCAGGGAAGGGACAGTCATGGTCTTTCATGTGTCAAATGGTAAGCCACTGGGCTCCAATAGATGGTTCTGAACCTGTGGCCACACAAAGGATCCTGGTTATAATCAGTGGGTCATAAGAACAGTTATTAGTCCTTTGATTCCTGTCAACCTGAGGTCACTCTTGTGTCAGTAGTACTGGTACATCATTGAAAAAAAAAAGAATTATTAATTCTTTGGTTCTTGCCAATATGAAGTCCTCCAGTTCTATTACTGTTATTAATATACCCTGAGTCCTGTCACTGCTGACCAGGTGTGAATGAGTGTGGGACCATCTACTGAGGCATGAGCAATACACCTGAGGCCACATCCCCAGAGGAAAGGAACTGTCCCTCCCCAGTAGACACCAGCTGCCCATAGCTCCTCAGCCTGGGTTGGGACCTCAGGAAACCCCACACCCCCACACACTGGAATTTTGACTCATTTGAACTTGCCCAGGTCTTGTGGGGGCAATCACAGATGCTGTGAGTTGGTGTGTGCACCAGCCATGTCACGTCCAGAAGACAGCCTTTCATAGCTCTCCTCCATAACCTCTGGCTCTTACATTCTTTCTACTCACTCCTCCAGTGTGTTCCTGGAGCCTTGATGGGGGAGGTTAACACAGATGACCCATCTGCAGCTGGGGACTCACAGTCACTTGTTCTCAGCACTTTGACCATTATGAGTCTCAGTATCGACCATTACCTACTACAAAAGAAACTTCTCTGACCAAGGTTGAGAGCACATGTGCATAGGTATAAATACAAATATTAAGAAGGTAATGTGAAAGATGGCTCAGTAGTTAGGAGCAGCCCTTGCCTTTCCAGAGAACCTGAAGTCCATCCCCAGAACATACGTGATGGCTGACAGCTACCTGTACCTCCAGTCCCAGGATGCCCTCTTCTGGCCTCTGCCGGTACTGAAAATAACAGTACACTGACATATATGAAGGCAAAACACTCATACATGTAAAAATGAAAATTAAAAATTAAGAAAACCAAACAAGGTCATATGACAACATGACCATTGAGCAAAATAGAATTGGTAGATCCCACACACCCCCTGGGGCCAAAGAGTGACAGGTTGTTATGTTTCTCATTATTTTTTTTAAGTCAGTGCACGGTGCAATCAACATCATTTAGGCATTTTCAAACAAAGTGTGTTTTAGTAGGTGCCCCTGTTCTCACCCCGACCCTCTGCTCTCAGATTACCCTCTGTCCCTCACACTCTCATATCTGTCTTCTGGTCTCATGTGTCTCCAGCTACAGTTTTAAGGATCTCAACTCTCAATCGTCTTCCCTGGTCAGCTTTTAAGGTCTGGTTTCGTCCAATCAACACTGACTTCTGAATGCTCCTGTTTGAAGGATGGGCACCCGAAGCACTGGAGTGAAGTGGCATTAAGTGTGGTTCATTACAATGCTCATTCGAGCATAGTTTACTAAAATATGTATTGGAACGTTCCCCTATTACTTTCTAAAATTAACATGGGTCAGTGCAATTAAAGATAAATATATCCAATCCAGAGCCCACAAGAGCACAGAGAAGGTAGCTGTATGCAAGCCAGGGATGGGACCCTCACAGAAACTCAAGAAGTGGGTGCCATGTGTCATTTCCTCCAAATACTCCCTCTTGGAGGCACCAGAGACTCCAGAAGTGAACAAAGATCACATGTCTGTCTAGGAAAGGGAAATCATCAAGATCTCCAGGACCCTCTCAAGATTATAAAAGCAGTAAGCTATGGCTGAGGGAAGAGACTCTTAGACCAGATGAGCTGCCTGCATGTCCTGCAGGAAGCTCCCGGGATGGAGCTCCTGTGGGTAGTCACCCACGCTGGGCTCAGCTTTTTAGTAGTGAAGCTGCCTTTGAGTCCTCCCAGACCTTCGTAGTAAGTCCTCTCCCACGCTTATGGAAGGAACCCAAATAAACTCATTGGATGAAAAGTTGGACTGTGGTTGGACTATTACTGTGATCCGTCAGCTCCTTAATCTACTTAATGAGGTAAGTAGATATTGTGTCATAACTCCCGGGGAAAAGTCACACACAACAGCAGGCTCCTTAATCTCTCGTACCTCAGAACTGTTAGAATGTGTCTGTTGCCTACATTTGTGAGACTGTGTACTTTGTTGTGACAACTCAACCTGACTGACGCAGTTCCTTCATAACTGCTGTGTGGAATGAGAGAAGGTTTAAGTAGTTGGTCCGGACCAGCGCTCACCTACAGTAGCCCAGATGGAGGGACCTTTGCTCATTGGGGTTTGGACAATGCTCACTGTTTTGTCCATGTGCAGACATGGCTATGGAGCATTCTGACACTTGTCTGTATCCATCAGAGTCACACAGTCGCCTGATGCAGATGGTATGTGAGTAGCAAGCCTTACTGGGAGGCCAGGTCAGCTCCTGATGTCAAGGGGCAAGCTGTTTTCTCACTTTCAAATTGATGGTACGCGGTAATGATGAATGGCAGCACACTCTCATAACAAGGGACACAAATGTCTTCATTCAGGTGGAGCTTGATTCTAGGAGATTGCTAAATGTTAGGTGTGTCCCCAAGTCCAAGGGCAAACACACAGGCAGACATGGCAAAGTGCTTCTGTGTTCTGACTCACTAGTGCAAGGCAAAACTTTGATCTCACGTGTTGATGTAAAATGATGACTGTGGGCTGTCTAGATGGTTCAGTGGGTAAAGGCGATTTGCTGCCAAGATGAATGACCTGAGTTCAATTCCCAGGACCCACATGATGGAAGGAGAGAGCTGACTCCCACACACTCATCTCCATATACTTAGCCTGACATATAAATAAAGAAATAAAAACTTTTTTAATGATTCTGCCTTTCAAGAAATCAATGTCTTTACTGGGATATAAACATGAGTAACCACGGCTCAGAGCTCAGAGTCTAGTTATGGTGATGGTGTGTTCTACAGTGAAAAGGGCTACATGAATAATCATGGCCTCGGTAATCTGCCTGGACCTACATTCAGTTCCATCACGCTTTTGGCAAGGGAAACCATCTGGGTGCTTGGAAATGAGTAGAACCAGAGCTGTGAAAACTGAACCATTGTGTGGGAGACACAATGGGCAAGGGAGGTTGCCGCGGACTGGGTCTCAGTAGGAACACCAGACCGAGGGAGAACGGGTTGAAGGTACTCAGGATAAGTGGGATTCGGCGAATGACAGACAGACACAGACACCAGAGTATGCTGTGAACTGCTGCAATTTTACTCAGATCAAGCAGTGTTTTTTATACATTCATTTGAGGAAACATGGCAATCGGCCAGTGGGGCGATAGACATAGAATTAACAATGTGTTCACACAATTTTCTCAGAATGATTAATAGATCTCATGAGTACAGGTGCTATTTCCTCTATTGTGATCCCTCATCCAGACAGAGAACATTACGGCCCTAGCTGAAGTTTTTCCTTCTACGTAGTTATTAGACCTTTGCTTTGTATCACAATTAAACCCTTCCCACCATCGTTCTAACCACGGTTTCATTTGTGTGAAAATATTTAACCTTTGCTTGCAGGTGAGAAGGCACCAGGGGGGTTGGGACCTAGCTATTCTTTCCATGAACTGTAACTTATGCCATTCTGTTTTCATACTATTATGATTCACCCATTGGTTCCCATGTTTATCATAAGCTCCTGTAAAGGGCAATGGCTCCAAATAATTATTATATCTAGGATTAAAGTTAGGGGGTTGCCACCACCGACCCTTGATGAGAAACTCTATTTGTCCCTTGATAATTCTTGTAGGACTGGTTAGTTCCTGTAACTGCTTCCTTACAGCTGCTGTTGGCTGCGCGTATGGATTGCTTATGAGTTCCTGGACTTTTACTTTCATCTCTCCTCGCTAGACTCTTTGTCCCTCTGAGTCATAAGTTCTTTTTGTTCTAAGTCATTCATAAATTCCCCCAAACTTCTAGGACCCTCTTTAACTGTTTGCCTAAAAGCTTGAATTATAGGTGGGGGTATTGAGGCCACTTTTGAGGAATCATTATTCTCTTTATGGGGCACATCAGAAACATTGAGAGTTAACTCCCTGAAATCAATACACAAGGAAACAGCAATAGTCACAGCTGCAAAGAGAAAAAAGCAGAGTGCCAGCCAGCCTCTGCAAGCAGATTTTGCGTGGTCCCGTGTAGCCTGGCACCATGATTCGGGCAGATTGATAAGGGGTCGCCGGGGGCATAGACCCGAGGGCCGCGAGCCCCCCTTTCCCACGTAACCACCTCATTCAAGGCATTTGTCACGCGGGCGACACCGTCGTGGGCATGGCAGTTCCCCCTTTTTTGTTTTTAAGGCGGAAGGCATACAGGTCCTCACGTACACTGCCCAGAGATCTGGTTATTGTCCTGAAAAGACAAGGGAAAATCACGATAACACAAACTACAATTAAGGCAAGAATGCCTATGAAAATAAAATATTGAATCCAATCTAAGGGATTCATGGCCTTAAGGTCTTCTTGTAATCCTTGTGCTAAGACATTCAATGAGCCAGCTTGTATATGAGCTTGGCTCATGGCCGATATGTCCTTTTGAATAACCTCTAAATCATGAGTAATGGAAGAATCCTTCCATACCCCTAACAAATGATGCTTAACTTTATCCCAATTCTCAGAGGAATTGTAGGGAAGTGGAGTCACACAAATAGCTTTGTATTCTTGATGACATCTAGTTTCCATGAGTTTCTTAATATTGGCCACATCTTGTCCTAAGGCTAACACTACTTCCTCTAATATATTAATTTTTGCCTCTAATTTCTTGTCAATAATTGCTTGTTCAGATAATGCAAAGGAAATATTCTTATTTAAATCATTTACAAATTGAGCTGTATGAATCTCTTGAACCAGGGCGGTGGTGGCAATGGCAAAAGTAGTAATAATAGATATTAATGCTGTTATCCCTAATATCAACGCTGCAACAAATCTTTTTGGCCTTATTAATTCATGAAGCTGTCTAAGTACCTGTAAAGCTGAATTATCATACCAAGTCATGTTATGTAATTGCACAGGCATCATTATAAAAGGTGGTCTTTTTACAATCATCATAATCTGCATTTTTTGTCTTTCCCTTGGTGAAATACAATTAGTGATAATGCATCTAAAGCAAGTTACATGATATGAGTTAGACCCAAGAGCAGAGATATTTACACGGGCAGCAGAGCCTAGTAGCAGAGCAAAAGGATAGGAAATACATGCTCTAACTGCAATGGGAGATGGAGTAGTTTCTTTGGGTCTTTTCTGAGACACTGGGCCTGAAGCGGCAACAAGCCAAAACAAGTCTGGATGTTTTCTCATGTTTCCGGAGGGGGTTCTAGCGACCCACACTGGCTCAACATACCCAGGTGAAAACCACCTAGTGATTTTCTCTCCATGACCCACAAATGTATAATTATGGAACTTATCTTTATTCTTTGAGATATAATCTTCATACTTCTTTTCTCCAGAAGAGGCGTAAAAATCCCAAATAAGCAATTTAGACAGTAAAGGATTGTAGGAGGAGGCTGCGTGAGGAAACCCACAACGCAACCAAGTAGGAAAGGCGGTAACACCATCATCCCAAAATTGATTCTTATCCCGATACTTAGTAATACAGGAATCAAGAGGCATAAAGTTGACAGACTTAAAGGTTTCATTCATAGTGGGAAGTCCCAGAGTAAGCAGCTGAGTCTCCCAGATCCATCTAGGATCTCCTTTCTTACCGGTAGAGCTGGGGGCAGCAGTTAAAAAGGTTCTGTAGCTGGTGGAGAGACACCCGGGAGGAGCTACTCCTTCCAGGGCGAAGCAAATTGGTAATGAATCTGAGCTTCCTGCAAAGTTTATAAATGAGGAAGCACTTGCCCTTTCATCTGAATCTTGGAAACCCCCGATGATCTCCGTCTGATTGCTCAATACCTTATAAGTCTCATCATCCAACCACCCCACTACATGTAAGAGGGGAGGACGAGGAACATAAGCCCAATAGGAAGAAGGACTGGTAGAGGCCGTAGTAGGCCCAACAGCAATCAAGGACAACATGGCTACAAACAGCATTTCTAAAGGAGGGTTAGAACATTGTTGCGAGGCAAGTGCTTTTGCTTCCGTCGCCAGATGTTTTAGCTGGGTCCATGTCGGAAGCTTCTGTGGCTTCAGGGTCAGCTTCTTCATCTCCTGAGTGAGCCGGGCCGTCGCTAACTTTTCCTTTCGCTTTTGCAGTTTTCTGCGGCGCCGGCCTGATGAGTCTGTCTGGAATCCATATGGGCGATTCCGCATCCTGTGGAAAGATACAAGCATACCCTCGCCCCGAAGTTATTAGAGGGTTGGGTCCTTTCCAGGATCCCGAAAGCAAGTCTCTCCATAGTACTTGTGGCAATGATGATGCCATCTCTTTTACTGCCCAATGCTTAAGAGCAGAGGAATTATTATTTGAGTCCATGTTCAAATGGTTTAATACAAAGAGAGAATGACTTAAAACATGATGAGGGGACATATATGAGTTAGCATTCTGTAATCTTTCTACTTGTAATTTTAATGTCTGATGAGTTCTTTCTATGATGGCCTGTCCTTGTGGGTTATAGGGAATTCCTGTCGTGTGACTAATCCCCCATTGTGCTAAAAATACCTCAAAAGATTTTGAAGTGTAGGCAGGTCCATTATCAGTTTTGATATGCATGGGTTTCCCCATGATCATGAAACATTGTACCAGATGCTGAATCACATCCTTTACTGCTTCTCCTGATCTGGCAGACGCGTGGATAAAATGAGAGAATGTATCCACTGTTACATGAACATACTTCATCTTCCCAAAGGAAGGAATATGGGTTACGTCCATCTGCCATAATGCAAGAGGCTTCAATCCCCTAGGATTGACTCCCATCTTTAAACTCTGATTTTGTGGAGGGCAATAAGCACACTCCTTAACTATATGTCTAGCTTGTTCTCTAGTTATCTGAAAAGCTTGTTTTAATGCATTAGCATTCTGATGATGCAGAGCATGACTTTCTTGTGTCTCCTGTACTGTAAGGAGATTAATTCTAGTTAATAAGTCAGCCATGTGATTACCATGGCTCAGGGGTCCTGGTAACCCTGTATGACCCCAAATATGTCCTATGAAGAGTTTCTCTGTTCTTTGCCATAACAGAGCTTGCAGTTCCTTAAGCAGAGGCTTAATAGTAGAAGAACCTGTTAAACTCGCTGTTTCTATGGCAGGAAATAAATTAACTACATACTTTGAGTCTGTATAAAGGTTAAGGGTCTGGGGAAAATGTCTAAGTGCAAGCAGAACTGCACGTATTTCTGCTTGCTGGGCTGTTATCTGCGGTACAACTTCTATTAAAGGTTCCTCCCCTTCCGAGTATACCACAGACCTCCCATTTGCTGACCCATCTGTAAAAACCACAATACCCTCTGTTAGGGGTTGAGAAACACATATCTTTGGAAATATAAGAGGAACTTCTTTTATGAATTCAATAAGAGGGTCTTTGGGGTAATGAAAGGCGATTTGTCCTAGGTATCCCATTAAGGAGAGACACCAATCTTCTGATTCTTGTAATAAGAGCTCTAATTGTTCTTTATTATAGGGTATAATTACAAAGGCCGGTTCCTTGCCAAACAATTCTCTAGACCTAATTCTGCCCTTATATATAAGTTGTGCACAAAGAGAGGGATAAGATATAAGTACCTTCTTATGTGTGTGTGGTAGGTGTAGCCACTCCAATACACCTCCCTGCCATAGGCAAGCTGTTGGAGTATAATCTGTGGCAAAAACAATTAAATACCATGGAATCAAATAGTCTACTTGATGTACTTTAGCTCTTTCCAAAGCCTGCTCTATATGTCTTAAAGCCCGCAAGGCTTCAGGAGTTAAGTGTCTTATTGACCTTGGGTGAGCTTCTCCATGTAATATTTGATACAGGGGGCTTAATTGACCTGTTGTGACATTTAAATATTTTCTTACCCAATTTATATTTCCCAACAATTTTTGAAAATCATTGAGGGTCTTTAATTTATCTACTCTGATAGATGCCTTTTGGGTTGTTATATAATTATCCCCTATCCATTGTCCCAGATAACTAAGTGACCTATTTTTCTGAATTTTTTCTGGAGCCATGACAAGGCCATAAGCTGTTAGACTACTAATTGTCTCTTTGAGAATTTTCTCTGTTGTATCTTTATTTTCATGAGCCAATAATATATCATCCATATAATGAATAATATATGCAGAGGGAAAAGTTTTTCTTATTGGTAAAAGGGCCATATCCACAAATTTTTGACATAATGAAGGACTGTTCTTCATTCCTTGGGGTAATACATTCCAATGAAATCGTCTATAGGGTCTCTTAAAATTAACTGAGGGTATGCTAAAGGCAAATCTAGGGCGATCCTGAGGCTGTAATCTTATTGTAAAAAAGCAATCTTGTAGATCAATGACTATAATGTGCCAGTCCTTTGGTATGGCCACAGGGGATGGGAGTCCTGGTTGTAGGGCCCCCATATCCTCCATTGTAGCATTTACTGCTCTTAAATCTTGTAGTAGTCTCCATTTTCCTGATTTCTTTTTTATGACAAATACAGGAGTATTCCATGGGCTATTAGATTCTTCTATATGCCCTTTTTCCAATTGTTCTGATACCAGCTGTTCTAATGCCTGTATTTTTTCTTGTGTCAGGGGCCACTGACTAACCCATACAGGCTGATCAGACTTCCACTGTATAGAGTCTGCATAGAGATCCTTTGCAGTGGCCCCTATGTAAAATGCTGCTCCAGCTCAGAACTTCCTGTTACTAAATGCACATCAAGTGACTCCATTAAGTCTCTTCCCCATAGGGTAAATGGTAGAGAGGGTAGCACATAAGGCTGTATAAACCCTTCTTTACTGTCTGTTTGCCATTTTAAAAGCTTTGAACTCTGCATTACTCCGGAAGCCATCCCTATTCCCATAAGGGAGGATCCTGTTCTGTGTGTTGGCCAAGAAGAAGGCCAATCCTTTCCTGCTATGCAGGTCCTGTCAGCACCTGTGTCCAAGAGTCCTTGGAAGCTCCTGCTGTCCAGGATGATTGTTTTAAAGGGTCGTCGCCCTAATTCTTGTACCCAGTTGACTCCTTCTACGGAGTCTGAAGAGCCAAACTGTCCTGACCCCCTATGGCTTTTCATAACAGGGTTAGGCATTTTTATGTAGGGGAGTAGAACAACCTGTGCGATTCTCTGTCCCTTGTGTAATTGAATGGTTTCTTTTAAAGGCCTGATCATCACCTTTATTGTACCTAAGGTATCTTCATCTAGCATTCCAGGGAGTACTTCAAAGCTGGTAGCAGTATTAGAGCTTCTCCCCAAAATTAATCCTACCATTTGTGGTGGCAGGGTTCCTGTAATTTTTGTATCTATGACTGTTACCCCATCCCACAGGGACAGGAGCAAGTCCTGAGGACATGATATATCTAATCCAGCACTCTCTGGAGTAGCCCTAGGCAGGTTATGAACAGTGAATTTTGGCGCAGCAGGGTTTAGCCCTGGTGTTAACTGTACTTCCTTTTGGACATTCCCCTTTTCTTTCTCGGGGCTAAGGGGGAGCCCCGAAGCTAGTTTTTTGTCTGACTGTTGGGCTTAAGGGGAACTCCCTCCTTAGTGAACCTTGACTTGCATTCATTTCTCCAATGCTTCCCTTTTTTGCATCGTGGGCAAATGCCAGGAGGAGCTCTTCCTCCTCTATTCTCAGCATTCGGGCATTCCTTTTGCATATGCCCTGATTTTCCACACTTACAACAGGTCGGGGAGCTATCAGCCCCTCCGCTACTTATTTTCTTAACATTGGCGCTAAATCATTGTCCTTTCATTGCTGCAGCGTAGGCCATTCCTTGCACTACGGCTGGTGAGGCATCCATGCATGCTTTTATATAATCCTGTAATGAGCCTGTCTTCCTGACGGGCCTAATTAAGTCTTTACAAAGAGTATTGGCATTTTCTCAGGCTAACTGTTTCAGAAGCATGTCCGTCCCCTCTGAAGGGGAAAACATTCTATATATTGCTTCCTCAAATCTAGAGATAAAGGCTTGATATGTTTCTTCATTCTCTTGTATAATCCCTGATAACACCGTGCTCTTTGTCCCGGGAGGCGGAATGCGACGCCAAGCAGCGACTGCATTGCTAGTAATAGCCTCCAAGACATCGCGAGGCAAAACAGACTGAGACTGAGGCGTTCTTTTCCCTTTTCTTTTGTATATCTGTGCATAGCCTTCCCTACCTTCCTCCATTCCGTCAGTGTCAGGCTGCCATCCTCTGTGAGCCAGGGACACAATTCCTTCACGAGTTTAAGGAATTCTGCCAAGGCCTCTGGTGTTACTTTCAAGCCCTTTTCTGCCAACATATGTCTTATCACAGATGCAAATAATTTGTCCTCCTTTGAGAGGTGGTGCCCCATGCTTACCTTCTGGATTACCTGTGCTTAACCGGTGAGCCTTTACCGGCGGGTCTGCAGAACCCTGACAGGAGCCGATCCCTACTTATGAAAAGAGAGAAAGAAGAGAGAAAATTACCTGTCCTTCATGTCCCTGTTCGAAGCGCCACCTGCCGCGGACTGGGTCTCAGTAGGAACACCAGACCGAGGGAGAACGGGTTGAAGGTACTCAGGATAAGTGGGATTCGGCGAATGACAGACAGACACAGACACCAGAGTATGCTGTGAACTGCTGCAATTTTACTCAGATCAAGCAGTGTTTTTTATACATTCATTTGAGGAAACATGGCAATCGGCCAGTGGGGCGATAGACATAGAATTAACAATGTGTTCACACAATTTTCTCAGAATGATTAATAGATCTCATGAGTACAGGTGCTATTTCCTCTATTGTGATCCCTCATCCAGACAGAGAACATTACGGCCCTAGCTGAAGTTTTTCCTTCTACGTAGTTATTAGACCTTTGCTTTGTATCACAATTAAACCCTTCCCACCATCGTTCTAACCACGGTTTCATTTGTGTGAAAATATTTAACCTTTGCTTGCAGGTGAGAAGGCACCAGGGGGGTTGGGACCTAGCTATTCTTTCCATGAACTGTAACTTATGCCATTCTGTTTTCATACTATTATGATTCACCCATTGGTTCCCATGTTTATCATAAGCTCCCGTAAAGGGCAATGGCTCCAAATAATTATTATATCTAGGATTAAAGTTAGGGGGTTGCCACCACCGACCCTTGATGAGAAACTCTATTTGTCCCTTGATAATTCTTGTAGGACTGGTTAGTTCCTGTAACTGCTTCCTTACAGCTGCTGTTGGCTGCGCGTATGGATTGCTTATGAGTTCCTGGACTTTTACTTTCATCTCTCCTCGCTAGACTCTTTGTCCCTCTGAGTCATAAGTTCTTTTTGTTCTAAGTCATTCATAAATTCCCCCAAACTTCTAGGACCCTCTTTAACTGTTTGCCTAAAAGCTTGAATTATAGGTGGGGGTATTGAGGCCACTTTTGAGGAATCATTATTCTCTTTATGGGGCACATCAGAAACATTGAGAGTTAACTCCCTGAAATCAATACACAAGGAAACAGCAATAGTCACAGCTGCAAAGAGAAAAAAGCAGAGTGCCAGCCAGCCTCTGCAAGCAGATTTTGCGTGGTCCCGTGTAGCCTGGCACCATGATTCGGGCAGATTGATAAGGGGTCGCCGGGGGCATAGACCCGAGGGCCGCGAGCCCCCCTTTCCCACGTAACCACCTCATCCAAGGCATTTGTCACGCGGGCGACACCGTCGTGGGCGTGGCAGGAGGTGAGCCCTAGCAGAGACTGATCTTTCCCCATTCCTCCCCAGGAGGTGCTATTACAGCATGGGGTGACCCAACCCACAGAGATATGATCTTTGCTGTAAATGGTGAGACTCTGGACTGATTACACTGCTATTCTCTAATCTATCCCACATTAACTTCTGCCTAATGGCAATCACATTGTTTGTAAGAAACAAAAACAAATTCTGGTGTGCCCAAACCACTACTTGTGTAACATGGTTAGCTCTCCTGACACACACTGTGGAACATCCTGCTGGAGCACCCTACTTCGCTGATACCTGGAAGGGAGCAGAAAAAAGAGCCACGAGCTGAAGGAAGGTGTGCCACCCTCTCTTCAGAGAGGTCACGAGTGTGGTCCTTCCTGCTCCATCACTAAGGAACTGCTCTGTTCGAAGTACTCCTTGCTGCCACAGTCTCACCCACCTCTCCCCTCCTCACAGCAGGACACAGGGATGTCCTACACAGAGTCCTGTTAGGACTGACTTCCTTGGAACCCAAGGTACACATAATCTCTTTATCAAGGTACCCCTGAGATTGTCCCCTGTGTCATCTTAGGGTTCCCCTCCTCTTTGTTAGACTTTTGTATCTTGTCACCGCTCTCAGATCTGATCTGTTCCATGCTGTCACACTAGCTGACCTGGGTAATGTTATTCAGAGGATTACACACACACACACACACACACACACACACAAATGCCATGGAGAGGTATGATAGTGAATGATAGTGACTGGTTGACTCTTGAATGGGCACCTTGTTCTATGAGATCTTTATTGTACCTAGACCACAGGTTTCACCAAATCACCTCTCCAATGTCATGTATTGATGTGTCTTCTGTCATCTGATGCTAGGATATAAACGACACATACTTTACAAAAAGGACCTCATTGGAATCTTACACTGTCTCCCTGGAAGGGGAAACGGGATAAACTGATGGGCACACTGAAGGAACAGGTTCTGTTTGTCTGTGACAGACAGACACTGTCAATCAACCCAGAATCCCCCCGCCCATTGTCTCGTCTCAGCAAGACATGCTACCCTCCTTGTCACCTCACCC